CTGTAATCCGACCTCCCAAGGATAGCTTGCTTCTGCAGATAGTAATTTTAATCTCTGGATTGATTATTGGCACTGTCTAACCATAAAATACTTACTTACTTACTTACTTATCTTCACGCACAATCCCTGACGGGGTAGCCAGAGAGAACAGATCGCCAAGTGTCACGATCCTTACATACCTCTTTCAAAGAGGTATGTAAAGAGGTATGTAACCATAAAATGGATTGAATTATCAATCTTCGATTGCTAAAAATAGATTAAGATCGAATATTAATTTCGGGCGTAAGTCGCATCGGTCCGGAAAAATCGCCGGTGGTAAACAATTCCACAGAGAAGATGTACGAGGAAGAAAACTCCTAGTAAACGCACAGTCGTGAACCGCCAAGCATCCAGATGGTGAGGATGACATCGTGAATTTTGACGCGATGTGCGTTCGTAAAATTTGACGGCTGGAATTAATCCGAACAATTCCTCAGAGCACTCCTCGTGGTAGATTCGATAGAAAATGCAAAGGGATGCAACATCCCTACGCAGTGCCAGTGTATCGAGCCGATCAAAAAGAACTTGGTCGTCGACGATTCGAAACGCTCTGCGCTGGATGCGGTCAAGTGAAAGGAACTGGCACTGGGGTGCCCCGGCCCAAAGATGAGAACAGTATTTCATGTGAGGCCAACTTGCGCTTTGTAAAGTTGCAAGCGATGTGCCGGCATGAAATACTGTCCCGCTCTGCTGAGCACGCCAAGCTTTTTAGAGGCCAATTTGGCCTTCCCTTCCAAGTGACCACGAAACTGCACTCTATTCGATATGTCGACGCCGAGGACTCCGATGCTAACTGAGGCAGCGAGGGTAAAGCCTTGAAACTGAGGAGATACGACAAAGGGGTTATTTTCAGCGGTAAACGCGCAAACTTGTGTCTTCTGGGGATTGAATTCCTGGTTTGTTTCCCTTTGTCGCTTTTTTCACACTTATTCAAAATTTTCTTGCTGACGAATATTTTTATTATTATTTAATACGGGTTATTTGTATTCAGCTATTTTAAAATGCCCGTACCAAAGGTAGCAATACGTAACAATCTAATTGTGGCAACACAGAATGAATAATAAACCTTGGTTTACCTGGGTTTACCTAGAAATACCCATGCTTTTTGGGTAAGTCCAAATAATTTGTATAAGTAGGGTATTAGATTAAATGTCAGCGACTTGACCTACTGTCGGTGATATAATTTCCGAAGTTTTGACAAAGGTAACAAAAGTCAGTTATTATTTTGCATTAAATCCTTACCGGTAGATTGCCGCGTAGTGAGGATTTCACCACGCTCGGTAGGCGGGTCAGCAAGCCAGATTTTAATTATTTTGAGTTTTTATCCGGTTTCAGTTCCACTCTGTAGGCTCTTACGACACCCACGGGACAATATGGGGTAGTGGGTATTGATTCTTACACCGCCACTACACGACATTTTCATTAAGTTTACACACTAACAAGGTAGAGCCTTGCTGCAGCTATATTATTGGTATAGTTGTAGCACCAATGGGTCGGCTCGACCGGGGAAGTACCACGCTCTCACAGAATACCAGCGTAAAATAGCAGCTTAACGCTGCTGTGCTTCGTATGGTAAGTATAGAGAACCGGAGACCCTTTTTACTGGATCGGAGGCACTCCATCCAGCCGTCATATGTATATCAAAATTGTAATTTAAAATCAGTTGATCTGTATGCAATCGCTCTTCCATATGCCTTATTTCTTATCTTAATCTTTTAGACAGGTACGGCTTTCCTCAAGAAGTTTTTCTTAACATTTGAGCACGAAGTAAATTAGTGCTTAAAATTACAATTATAGTGGTGCTAAGGGGATCGAACTAGCTTCTCCAAGGCTCGAATAAGTTCTTGTCAGAGTCTGTGGAAAAGTAAAAGTATTAGGGAAACAGATTTTAGGTATACTAAAATTTTTTTAAGGATTTTTTTTATAGGATAAGGGTGACAAACGAGCACACAGTCCACCTGATGGTAAGTGGTTGCTGTGGCCCATAGACATCTACATTTATCCTCGATTACGAATCAAAATGCAGATGCGTTGTCATCCGTGAGGACTAAGATGGAATGCCTCTTTTCCAGTAAAAAGGGTCTCCGGTTCTCTACACTCACCATACGAAACACAGCAGTGTTAAGCTGCTATTTTACGTTGGTATTCTGTGAGAGCATGGTCCTTCCCCGGTCGAGCCGACCCATTCGTGCTGCAACTATACTACTAATATAGCTGCAGCATGGCTCTACCACGTATAAATATAAACGATGCCAAGATACAAACAGTAGCAGCAATTATGCGAGATAAGATACAATGCTTGTAGTTGTTAATTAATTTTTTATCTACGTTTTTATAAATAGCCAGACAGATAAATATTTACATCATTATAAGGTGATGCGAATTTTTAAAACTAAAACCACCTTAGAGTATACATATATACTCCAAGGAAACGACTGTTATTTTTATTTTATACTGTAAGAATTATTTTGTTTATAGCCAGTAGCAAAAACATAAAGCAGAAAAATAAATAATTAGGTAACAATATCGTACTTATATAAACAAGATCAAGCCAAAGTTTAACCCGCCGCGCTAGTTAAATTTAACATGAAAAGTTTGTTTTTAATGTATTAAATGTATCTACCTAAGTAAAACAGGCGTGAATTTACCGTAAGAGATGTATGTATGTATTAATTGTTCTGTAAACAAATTACCGAGCTGTTCCAACAAAGAAATAGTTCAGTTTCAATGGAATTTTAAGTGCACCATCACTCAATACATCGACTGTACGATCGTAAAATCATTCCAATGCTAGACAGCAATAAAACCGAATGATCCACGCCTGACTACTACAACAAAAAGCCGGACAAACAAATCCCGTACGATTCAAACTGTATTTAACACATTGAATTGACAGAACGTGACCTAAACAACAGATAATCGTGTATATCTATGTACTTACCTTGGTAGTCTCAATTCTCTCTGAATATTGTAGTTCTTGCACAATCGTTGTTGTAAAGACCTACTATACGATGGAAATAATACGTGAAATTATTGATGATTTGACAGCAATCGAATATTTCGCGCCCGCGGTATTGTTTGGCGCGTTTTTTACGCACCGACACAAACTAGACGACGCGTTCTCGCGGACTGTGGAAATGTGGAAATCCAATGTGTGGCCGAAGAGCAGGTGACGTTAACCACGCTTGCGCGGCGACGGCAAACAAGGTCGCGTGCTAGAATAAGACAGATAGCGTATTCCCTTGTAATAAATGGGCAATACAAATTACACAGTATATAAAACACTAAATTCGAAAACAACGCTATAAAAACTTCATAGCTAGATATGTCAGTAAATAGATATTGAATCAGTGGATTTACTACTTCATAACGTGGACACTTATTTTGAAGGTTGTTAAGAGAAATTTCTGGGACAGTAGAAAGAGACGTGAGATCTGTTACTCTATTCTTGCTTGTAATTCATTGATAAATTTCGTGTCCCAATTACATTGTTATCCTAATATAAATACATTTAATAATTGATAGTTAATAATGCATTCCCTATAAACTATAAATAATAACAAATACAGATAGTAAATTATACAAAAAGGTTTTATTGAAAACAAAATTTATAAACAAATATTTATAATAAGTATGTACAAATACCTTGAGAGGAAAAACACAAATCAATAAAAAAAAGAAAACTGATTTATGAAACTGGTTAAGAATACTATTAAAAACAAAAAAATACTAGACATCTTCATACAAGATGAAAAGATAATTACACTTAAATCTAAAAAAGTTAAGCATCAAAAACTAGCTGAACGTAGATAATAATAGAAACGAACGTAGACATAATAGCAATAGTAGTAAAAAGGTACCTTAAATAAATGTTACAAGATTTTAATTCATTTATGCATTATCTAACTAAAGGTTGAATGGCATAGCAAATGAGGCTCCGTGACCAGGTATCAATTTTCTCTCTCTCTCTCTCTCTCTCTCTCTCTCTCTCTCTCTCTCTCTCTCTCTCTCTCTCTCTCTCTCTCTCTCTAATTGTCAAATAACTGGTATTATAACGTACTTAAGCACCAATTTTTTTGAATAATTGACCTAACCTTTATGCAAATCTTTACAGTTAATTGAGTAATAAAAGTGGTTTTGTCGAAAGAGAGAAAAATTGATTTAGGTATTATCTGTAAAAAACAACCTATTTCACTTTCACACAGATATTTACAAAAAAATTAAAACATTGCATTGCTGCCATTACATTCATAAATAATTGATTATGTAGGTACCAAAAGTATTAAAATGATAGGTATATTATAATGATTTGTATCATATCAATGTATTTCTTCACTTTCTTTACACAGTGCGAATCAAAATGTTATTCAAACGTTTACCTATCTTAAATTACCTAAAAATATTTGTAAATAAAAATAATAATATATAAAACTTAATTTCTCATTAACAACTAGTTAACACTTAAAACAAATATATTATATTTATGTAACAAGCACTGATTAATGCAATAACATTTAAATATCTCCGCCAAAAGTGACTAAATAATTTATAAACCACACAAAATATTCTCTTATCACATTGAATTAAAATAAATTATGAGGCACGCAAAAAGCGTTTTAGCCTAAAATGGTTTTAGGTACATGATATTTTGGTATATAATCAATTGTTTATTAATGTAATGGCTACAATACAATCTTTAAATTTATTCGTAAATACTTACATGAAAGTGAAATGGGTTTTTTTTTACAGATAATACATAAATCAATTTTTATAACAATTTTTCCTCTTTCGACTATAACCACTTTTATTACTCATATAACTAAGGATTTGCATAATGATTACGTTAATTAATCAAAAATTAGGTGCTTAAGTACGTACTAATACCGGTTATTTAGCAATTACTATCTTATAATGATACAAATATAGCGTTTAAATCAACTTTATAGGACCAGCCTTTAAAATTAATTCTTGAAATTTTTGGCGGGTGGAATTTCTATATCGTGAACAGAATTGCAATGTCTTTTCAGTTCGGAATATTTTCTAAATTTCGAGCCACAAAGGAGACAGTCGGCAATAATTTTTCTAACATTATGAATGGTCCATTCATGGTCCCACTTTTCCCTTAACGTCTTGAAATATTGGTGGCAAAATCTACAACGGAACCTAGTCGACATTTCTTTCGTGTGCGCGCATTTTATATGTTTATTTAGCATTGATTCGAAATGAAACTCCTTGTCGCAATAAAAACAAGGAATCGGCGAATTGTTGTTGTGGTACTCCATGTGTTGCGTGATCATTTTCTTCGAATTGAATTTCCTTTGGCATAGATCACACTGAAAGTACGATGTACCGTGAATTTTTTTGTGCTTAGAGAAGTTACTGGAATCACTGAAGGATTTATTGCAGAACGTGCATTGGTACAGTGTTAATTTAGCGTGTACGCGTAAATGTGCCTTATATCTATCAACTTTAGAGAAGGTTTCCGTTCTGCATACCTCGCATTGGATGTTGAGGGTGCCGTTTTTGTTCACTGGATTCTTGGCTAGAGTGCTTCTAATAACATGTTCTATGAGGTGCCTCTTCAAATCTCCAATCCGGTCGAAGGACTTTAAGCAGATGTTACAAGCCTTAAAAAAATAAATATTTTAAAAAAGAGATTTGAGAACTGTTTGATAAAAAAACTGCAGGTTTTTCAAGAGTAAGTATTATAAAAGTTCAAGCACTGACAATACGATAGAAGCCACGGAGCTACTTGACAATATTTTTGCGACTGGCGGACTATTAAACTTTTTTTTAAACAATTGTGCAAACGAGGACACAGTCCACGTGGTAAGTGATTGCTGTGGCCCATAGACATCTACACTTATCCTCGATTAAGAATCAAAATGCAGATGCAGTCACCCGTGAGGACTAAGTTGGAATGCCTCGTTTTCAGTGAAGGGTGATCGATTCCCGACATTAAATATTACACTGTTACTTCACGCTGGTATTCTGTGAGAGCGTGGTTTTATATAATATGACCATGTTACTAGGCTGCTCTAGGTTTAAAACAGTTTCGACACAGTAAAACTTAACTTAAACTTTTAATAAAACTTAAAAGTCAACATCAAAGAAACAAAAACATAACTTCAGAAATTAAAATTTTTTTATACAGTGTGTCTTAGCAACGAATATGGAGAACAATAAAGAAAAAATCTATACAATTAAATAATATTGAAGTGTCTCTTTGCAATGTCAAAATAACAGCTTTTCCCTAAATGTAACAGATAAAAAAAAACAATTTTTAAAATTTATTTGTTTGTCATTTTTGGCGGGACTTTCGCTGGCAGATAGCTAATGTTATAAGGAGGGACTTGCTTTTATTTTAAAAAAATAATTAAGGTTCAGCGCAAAAAAAAAATGAAAGCCCATGAAATTCAATTGTAATAAATTACACGCGGACGAAGTAGCGGAGATCATATAATGCAGAAGTTACTTTAGACTTTCTTAGGCATTTCCGTCTTTATGAACTTAGAATTAGCAGTCATAATTAATAACCGTCACCTCTGAGGCTGCTTCCTGTCATGCGTCTGAAAATATCACAGTAACCTTTTTTTATAGAATAGGGTGACAAACGAGGACACAGTCCACCTGATGATAAGTGGTTGCTGTGGCCAGACATCTACATCTATCCTCGTTTGCGAATCAAAATGCAGATGCGTTGTCAGCCGTGAGGACTATGATGGAATGCCATTTCCAGTAAAAAGGGTCTCCGGTTTTCTACACTCACCATACGAAACACAACATCATTAAGCTGCTATTTTTCGCTGGTATTCTGTGAGAGCGTGGTTCAGCCTACCGATTCGTGCTACAATTATACAATTAATACAGCTGCTACATGTCTCTACCACGTTTAAAGGCATAGGCTACTTAATAGTTAAGGGATGGTTATTGGTTATACTGCTATCATTCAGCGGTCTCAGTTTTTCATGCATTTTCTCTGAGTCGACATTTACGACACCTACAGTTCGAGACAAGGTCATTGGACACTCAATGCCATCACACTTGGCTTTGTTATAAGTCAGGTATCGTAATTGTATGAAGGACACTCAGAATATATTTTGTGTGTGTTAATGGTTTATTGACCTATCTTTTGTAATGTTTTGATTATTACAAAGTAATCGTACTTGAAAACGACGAAAAATTATTTGAAATCAATGCAAATCTAATTAAAAAAAGATAAGACATTTAAATTAAACATTGACAAGACAAATAAATAAACTAACCTTTCTGTATCTTTTGTGTTTCCTAGCCTTCTTTGCATGAAGTAGAAAAACTTTATTAGACATCACTTTAGCTATAACCGAATCGGCCTCTCTTATTTTCTCTTGTGTGACGTAGTTTTCGTTCATTGTATCTGATTTTAGATGTTGTTCGTTTGGGGATGGCGTGTCCGTTTTGGTGACAATGTCAGTATTTGTGATGCCATCGTCGAAAGATTCGCAAGAGTCCGTGTAAGTACTATCCAGTGGACTCGAATGACATTTCTGGTGCTCTTGCAGATCTTGGTATTTCTTAGCTGTGTAATCACAAGCCTGGCACTTTAAGATTAAATGTATTTTGGCGACGTGAGCCATCAAGTCTTCCATTTTAGTGAACGTCTTCGTGCAATAATCGCACGGGTGTTTCCGTAAGTGTATTTTACGGTGGGTGCGTAAAGTGAATTTTGAGGCGAACACTTTGTGGCACTTATTACATTCTAATTCTGGATCGCCGTGGCCAAGGCAGTGCAGCTCAAATTTCTCCTGGCTTTTGAAGTTCTTGCCACATTCTGTGCACATAAATTTAACTTCACTTTCAGAACCAGAGGCGCGTGATTCTTTAATCGATCTATGGTTTCCCACCATGTGCTGCTTGAAAGTAGATATTTGATCAAATATTTGCTTGCATTTGTCACATTGATATTTCTTCTGGTTGGGGTAAGGGTTGTTGTTGTTTTCTAATAAAAAGAAATGATTCTTACATTAAGAAATAATTTAGATGAATGTTATGGCTCAGCGGTTGAAGTCTCAACTGGTTAATATGTCAAGAGCTGCGTCAAGAGTTCAGAGTTCAAATCCGAAGCAGGGGCCATCATTTGTACAAAAATCTAATGTGGATTTTCAGGTAGGCTCCCTATGCTACAATCGGGTGCGCACTCTCTTGGCACTATAATAACTCCTGCTTAGTTGACAGATTACGAAATTATTTAGTAGTTGCCTAAGTGGTCCAACCAGACCAGTAAAATAGTATTTTGGAATAATATACAAAGTATGATATAATTCCCATGACCGATAATATTATGAGCAGTATTCTTAGAAAACAAGTTTTTTTTTTTTATAGAAGAAGAGGCAAACGAGCGGCTCATCTTATAGTCATAAAGAAGACGAATAAAAAGTACGTATGTACCGACGTATATGAAGTAAATTCAATAATTATATGTTAAAAATTATTTAACTAAAATATAAAATAAAGAAAAATGCAATTAGAAGCATCTCCCCATTTTGTCTCGTGGGATATTCTTATACTAGAGGCGACGAGAAATTTAACATTAGTTGGCTTTTAAGTGATTAAGTTTATGATGATGATTCGAAAAATTGGGTAGTTGGCAGGAACATATATTTTTTTATAGGATAAGGGTGACCAGCAAGCACACAGTCCGCCTGATGGTAAGTGGTTGCTGTAGCCCATAGATATCTACATCTATCCTCGATTACGAATCAAAATGCAGATGCGTTGTCACTCCTGGGGACTAAAATGGAATGCCTCGTTTCCATTAAAAAGGGTGTCCGGTTCTCTACTCACCATACGAAACACAGCAGTATTAAGCTGCTATTTTACGCTGGTATTGTGCGGGAGCATGGTGATTCCCCGGTCAAGCCGACACATCCGTGCTGTAACTATACAATTAATTTTGTGGCACTTATTAGCTGCTGCATGGCTCTACCACGTAAATAATTAAAAAAATGTAGCAGTAATAATTCAAAATTAAGAGTTTTTATACAATTTATTTTTATTTTACGAGGGCGACACTGAAAGTTTTTAGAACTGGCCACTTGTAAACGATATAATAAAAAAAAAGTTCAAATTTTGAAAATGGAATTCTTTGCCAATATTATTGTGTATGTATTTTATTAATTTGACATTCTTTTATGATTTGGCGGCAAATTGAAAATTGTATGTGTCAGGTCAGCATGAATTTAACGCGAGAAAATTTTCGTAATATGTTTTTATGACTTTCGATGTCATTTAAGTAAACAAGAAAGTTATGATAGACTTCAGATTGGCCTTTTACGATAAAGCCCCATCTCGTGCCACTGTTTACAACTGGTTTAATGAGTTTAAACGTGATCGCACTAATCTCACCGATGATCTGCGTGAGGGACACACAGTAGAAAGCCTACGGCGTCGACTGAAGATAACATCAGTGTTATGCGGCGTATGATAGAGACTGACAAAAGAGTGATTTATCAGCAGATTCGGACAAGCTTAGGCATCGGTATGAGTCAAGTGCACAAAATCCTCCATGAACATTTAGCGGTCAGGAAGCTTTGTGCCCTGTGGAGACCTCATAATTCGACAGAGGCCCAAAAACTCCGTCGTGTTGATTAGTGTCGTGAAATGGTTCAAAGATTTAACGGAGGTGACTCAAATTCTGTGTTCGACATACGGGTGACGAAAGCTGGATTTATTGTTATTATCCTGAAACTAAAAGACAGTCTGCTGTCTGGGTGTTTCCTTCCGAGGAGTTGCTGACTAAAGTGAAGAGAGGTCGCAGCGTGGGAAAAAAGATGGTGGACAGGTCATTACGCAACAATTGTTTTAGAGGATTGAAAAACGGTTACTGCAGAGTGGTAAACTTACAATTGTTTGCCACTTGTCTTGGAAAAAGTTCGGGAGAAACGACCTCACAGTAGGATCCTCCTTTATCACGACAACAAAGCATTATTAAGTGTCAAATTTTTTTTGTAAATAAATTGTAATCTACCAAGCTATTTATTCAAAAACATTAATCTGAAATAAGTACATATTATTAAAATTATATTATGTAAGAATTTTGTAATATACATATAATATGTAGTTTCTTTTTTTTTTTTTTTAATAAAAGTGACAAATGAACCCATAGTCAACCTGATGTTAAGTGGCTACTGCAGCCCACGGACACCTGCAGCTAACTTCAAACAAACTATGTTGTAGACTTAGAGTATACTTCTATGGTTATAGATGTGTTGTCACTTGTCACCTCTGAGATCTAAGATGGAATGACTCACAGCCTATAATTAATTTTACTGACCCTTGATACCAGAACATACCAGTGCATACACTGCTATTTTAGCTACAGAAATAGATAAGGGGGTTGTACACAGACAGTCTCCTAGGTAGACAATTAGGCCTATCACCTAGTTATTTACTTTCTGTGATTATTACTAGTTTAAAACTATAATGACTCACCAACAATTACTTCATGATCAATTTCACCGCCTCCAACACACTCCAGGGATGGATCGTTCACTGTGATCTTCTGAATGGTTTGTCCGAAGTGAGAGTCATGACCTAGGAACAGTATAGTTTTCTGCTGCTTGGACAGTGACTGTATATCTGACGACATTAGCTGTTTTAGTGCGTCATCGTCGCTCTGTAAGCCTACGTAACGGATTTCTTCTCGGGCCCTTGTCTCCGTTTCATTAATTATCTCTTCAGACAGTTGTGACAGAAACACTCCACATTCAAATTCATCATCTTCATATGGATTGTTCGGTCCGGAGTTATTCTGTTGAGTTGTATCACTTGTTTGCACTTTTCTAAACTTTTTATGTTCAAATTCTTCAGCCGGTGAATAATGAACAGCCTCCGAATAGTTGTATACATTTTGTGTTATGTATGTATTATGTTGTTCAACAGTTATATGGCTGGAGCGAGTTTGATGACGATATACTGAGAATTTCTCTTTTGATTCTGTCGCGTCGCAACTATTATACACATACGGACTCCGCATTGGATCTATCCATACTTGGGACTGAGTGTACGGAGGATTCTCTTCTGTTACTGTTTGGATTTGATCATTATCATTGGATTCGGGCGTGGAATTAGAATCAACTTCATGTACATTAACATCGTAACTATCTATGAGCTTCACGTTACAAAAACCTGAGTACAAGCACATTTCATTACCTTCAGTGTCCGCTGATGTGATGCTGAGTTCTATAAAGACATCATCAGTGGCTGCACAGGTGGTTTCTAGCGTGGTACACTTCTTCGGTATAAGCAGTACCGGATATAACACCTCATTATCCGTGGCAAATGACGTTTGCTCCATTTTTCTATTGTAAACCTATGTAAACAACGAAAAGCCATGTTGATATACTTTCATATGCGAAATGGAGGTAAATTTACAATGAAATGTCACAAATAACGAAGTTTTAATGTTTTTTACTCACCGCAGATTTTGTTGGTGTATCGAACGATGGTTTGAAAAAAAAAGAAATATGGCGGTATGAAAATATAAATAACATTTCGAGCAATAATTTCTACCCACATAAGACATTTGCTCAAAAGTTATTAAATATCTCGAAATTGCTAAATAAAACGAATTTAAAATGAATTTTTTTTTCGCGCGTTTTTCATTTGCAATTTTTTTCTTTTTTTTTCCATAGTACTTAATGGCATTTATGCTTTTGGTAGCGTTATAGAAAAGAAAATTTGTGAAAAAAAAATTGGGTCAAAAGAATTAAACGCATTTATCTTGTATCATTTACTTAAAAAAATAACTTTTTCTATACCAAAATAAAAAAATAATACTTAACTTAATCATTAAAAAATAAAACGTCAGATTAGTTTATTTCTATAGAAAATATAAAGCCACACTAAAATAATTGTTTTTCTTTGTTAATTATTTTATCTTCATAAAAATGAGCAGTTATTATATTGTTTTCCATTTCTTCTGTGTAATATTAACAAAACATGTTAATGTCTTCAATTTTTGTCAATTGCGTCGTAGAATCTCAGGCCAGGCGCTCCCTTTACTTTATTAAGACGGTAATTCGACTTCCGCTGCCGGTAATACGTGTTTCCGAAGCCGGAATTACGAATCATATATTATATATAAAATAAAATCCAAATCCCATAATGTGAACTCCAGGGTATTATTCTTATTGATGCTTTAATCAGATATTTTAGACGTAGGGTGTTCACAATATTTAGTACTAAATAAGTTGAAAAAAGAGCCGTAGTAACTTTAGAGGCTAAGCGATCGCTGTAAATTTAACAGAACGCGAGTAACTCGGGTTCTATCCTCGCCAGCTAAAAGTTGAAAGTACTGTGTTTGACGACATTAAAAAAATAGATAATAATTATTATAAAGTTAATAACAAACCCATGAAAGTCAAAGTTTTATGAACTTTTAAATTTATCTTTATCTGTAGATATTGTTGATTGACGGAATTTATAGTATTTAAGGCTGAATGTTGATAAAAGGACTTATTAGAATAGTGTAAAAATTACACCCACACGCACACGCACAATAAAAGTATAAAAATGGTGGTTAGACAAATATTGGCTACGGGCATGTTCCTTGTTTACGTTAACGGTACGTATGTATTTAAATAAAGTTACAGCTTATATACGTGCCACTGTTAGGCCTATGCCTTCTCTCATTTCTAAGAGGGTTTTTATTGTTTTTTCAGTCTTTTTTTGTTTTTGATATGCTGAAAACGTTACCTCCACACTAGGATTTTCTCCTGTATCGTGGGGACTGTTTACATACATACATTTCACAAGACCAAACATCCAGACCCGGAACAATTGCTTGTAGGTAAAACAAATACTTGTTCCGTGCGGGATTCGAACCCGCGGGCCTCAGCGCTGCAACTCGTCACTAAGCCACTGCGCCACAGGTTGTCAGCAATTAGTCTGCCCGGTAGCTCGAATACGTGTCGACCGACTTCACATGTTATCGAAATATATGTTTCTCAAACATGGATTTCTTACAACGATTTCTTTCAGCGATTTCCTATTTTGCTGTAAAATTTAGAGCGGTACTTCACCCCGGAGCTACCACGACAGCTTTTTAAATACATCTAGAATAATTATACATTTGCATTTAAGTGGTTAAAGTTACTTTCAGTCTAATACTTACATCATAAAGAGCTGTAATAGCTCACTTAGCGCTGATCGTGAAAGGAGAAGAACTATTTAATAAGTAAGCTTTTACCCGCGGCTCCAACCGATGTAAGCAGAAAATAGATTATAACGCCATCTATTGACCATCTAAAAGTATTAAACTTTCGTTTAATTTTCAATTTATCGCATTTCCCATAGTCGCTTCACACGTCACCCATGGACGAAATAGGTGATGGATTCTATTACGAATCGGGATATTTTAGTTAAAACATGATATAATTTCAGGACACCCATTCAAGAAGCATCACAATTCCGATTCAGAATCACGTATCGTAGGCGGCGTGGATGCCCCTGAAGCGTACGCTCCACACATGGCCGCTCTTGTCTGGGGAGAATCGATCAAAAGTCTAATATGCGGGGGCTCCATTGTCACCAGCAAGCATATACTGACGGCTGCACATTGTATCGATCCGATGATTGCAGACGGAGTGTTGATACCGTTAGTAAATTATTACCGCTAATAAATTTTTAATCGATTTTAAAAAGGAAGTTCAATATTCAACGTGACTATATTTAATGTATTTTTTTTTATAAAATTAAAGTGACAAACGAACTTACAGTGCGTTAATATGGTGAGAGGCTACTGAGGCCGATGGACACTTGCTACCAATTTCAAATAAAGGAGGTTTTAGATGCGTTGAAAAATCGGCGGACTATAATGCCGTACAGCCTGTAAAATTATATTAGTTCTCTTTACCCTTTGAATCGAAATGCAGTGTACAGTCACTTCTAGGCACTTAGACGGGCTGACGGGCTCCTAACAGGAAGAGGTGTCTTACCACATAATAATGTATATTAACTGATTTCTTTAAAACAGCTGAACTTATTTAAATAATCTTTGCTTTATTACAATTTAAATATTCCTTAACGGTGGTGGATTTTTTCTTTAAATTTAAATGGGCCACCTATATGCATTATCTAAATGATAATGATAATGAGATGAAGAAAAATTGGAAAAATAGGGGAATGAAGTTTTTATTATAACTTAAATATCTAAGCTTTATAATATTGCTTGGTCTTTTCAAAGTGGTAAATGAATAAAATTAAAAATAAAATAAAAACCGACTTTATAAAACTAAAAAGGTGTGCAATTCAATTCGTGCGCATCCCCTCCAAATTTCGTTCAGCGCTAGACTTTCGTGATACGACTTGTATTACATTTTAATTATAGTTAAATTTTTCGTTGTAAGATTGGAAAATAAAAACCTAAATCGATTTTCCAATGTGCATTTTGTTTTAGTTCATTCCAAGCGGTCGTCGGATCGAACCAGTGGGCCTCTAATAGAACTATCGCCAGATTCAAGCATTACATCAACCATCCTGATTGGGATTGGGTCACAATTAAAAACGATATCGGCGTGCTGCCCTTAACTGAAGAGTTGGAGATGAATGATAGAATTTCTACTATACCACTGTGCTTCGACTATGTGCATGGAGGTATTAACAGTTACGTCACTGGTTGGGGAAGGGTAGGGATCCGAATTGAAGATGACGTGGTGGTAAGTTATGACTATATATTATTTCCGTAGTAAGGTTAAATAAAGTTTAGGTAATGGGGAATGTATTTCAGTGCAGGGGACAAAACTGGCCAAAAATTTAGATTGACTGCAGTCACTTTAACCATGTTTTTTTTAGCAGAGGGGGCAAACGGGCATGCGGCTCACCTGATGGTTAGAGACTACCACGGGTCCCACCTTTGACGCTGCTATTTGTCTCCAATCAGGGTATTTTACGTCTGACGATAAGTTATAACATCTATCGGATAAAAACCCACTGCTAAGCGTGGGGTTCTCTCGTTGCTGGGAGTATTTGTATCCTCACGATTGGCAGGCGATTTGACGATGGCAGTTACAAACGTGTCCCACCTTTGACTGTGCTATCTGTCTCCAATCAGGGTATTTTACGTCTGGTGATAAGTTATACCATCTATCGGATAAAAACCCACTGCTAAACGCGGGCTTCTCTCGTTGTTGGAAGTATTTGCCTCCTCACGATTGGCAGGCGATTTGACGATGGCAGTTACAAACGTGTCCCACCTTTGATGCTGCTATCTGTCTCCAATCTGGGTATTTTACGTCTGGTGATAAGTTATGCCATCTATCGGATAAAAACCCATTGCTAAACGCGGGCTTCTCTCGTTGTTGGAAGTATTTGCCTCCTCACGATTGGCAGGCGATTTGACGATGGCAGTTACAAACGTGTCCCACCTTTGACTGTGCTATCTGTCTCCAATCAGGGTATTTTACGTCTGATGATAAGTTATACCATCTATCGGATAAAAACCCACTGCTAAACGCGGGCTTCTCTCGCTGTTGGAAGTATTTGCCTCCTCAAGATTGGCAGGCAATTTGACAATGGCAGTTACAAACGTGTCCCACCTTTGACTGTGCTATCTGTCTCCAATCAGGGTATTTTACGTCTGATGATAAGTTATACCATCTATCGGATAAAAACCCACTGCTAAACCCGGCTTCTCTCGTTGTTGGAAGTATTTGCCTCCTCATGATTGGCAGGCGATTTGACGATGGCATTTACAAACGTGTCCCACCTTTGACTGTGCTATCTGTCTCCAATCAGGGTATTTTACGTCTGGTGATAAGTTATACCATCTATCGGATAACACCCTTTGATACTGCTATATGTCTCCATTCTCGCTATTTTATGTCTGGCGTTAATAAGTTATACCATTCCATCGGAAGCCATAAGATCTTATTGGCATATCACGTAATCGTCATTTACAACACTTGAAAGCGTGCAGTGTGGTATACAGAGCCACACTGCAGCTATATTAGAGTGGTAGCACGAATGGGTCGGTTCGACCGTGTGTTTCGTATAGTGAGTGTAGAGAATCGGAGACCCTTTTCACTGGGAAACGAGGCACTTCGTCTTAGTTTGCAGGGTTGATAGCGAATCTGCATTTTGATTCTTAGGCGAGGATAGATGTAGTTGTCTATGAGCCACAACATTCACTTACCGTAAGGTAGACTGTTCGTTTATTACCGTTATTTTATAAAAACCTACTTTTGGGCTATAGAGTGATGGCTTCTCCTCTGAATCCTTTTTTATCTTTTTTGACAGAATCTTTTTCCAATACCTGATGACTTGCAACTGTTGTATATGAAAACTATATCTTCTGAA